TCTGACTGAGGATTTAGGCCCACTCCCTGCAGGGAATGGCCTAAGCTGTTAGTCGGACATCCCCAAAGACTCCTGAGATGCCAGGGGGATGTCTGACTGTCAGCTTAGGCCTGATCCCCCAGGGAGTGGGCCTAAGTTGGCAGGTGAGCATCTCCCAAGGGGTCCCAGACTGCGAGAGGCTGCAAGTTGGGCTGAGGGCCCTCCTCCCCCTCCCCCCAAGTGCATGAATTTTTGTGCACCGGGTCTCTAGTGATATTATGAGAGATTAGAGAGTTAATGAACCACATTGAAGTTAACATTAAACTTCACTGGATTCTTCCAGATCCACCCCAGGGAATCTGACTTAGTTTCTCTGTTCTCCACTGCTGGAACTCTTAGACCCTCCAACAAACATACAGGGTTTATAATTCAAAACTCAAGGGATGCAGGCCTAATGATTTGGAGAAAAGGACTGAGAGATCTGGGTGGGAAGAATTTGCTGTATTAAAAACAGCACCTTAATAGTGAGGCAGGAAAAGTGGAACAGCTAAGCTGAGACAAATAGCTGAAGGAGCAGATTGGGCAATTTAGACCCTTCCTAGACATAACATCTAGCCTCAGTTGTATTTCAGCTCCAGGTCCATAAAAGCAGCAAAACCACTGAGGCACACTAGGACCAGCTACAATGATTAACCATCCCCGCCCAGGCACTGACCAATCAGTAGAGACCAGGACCCTGAAGAAGCACACCTGGAAAACTGATGAATATTCTGTTAAAATCCTCTCCTAAGATCTCTCCTAAGATTCCAACCTGCAAGAGAGCGAGAGAATCCTGGAGACAAAGAACCCAGCATACGTTCTCCCTTTGGGGAGCATACCTGCATCATTCCCTTTTCCCTCTTCTTCCCCCACTTCTTCCCAAAAAGACACAGATCTTCTAAACTCTAAGTGACTCTATGAGACTTGCAACCAGGGGAGCAATGGGCAATGACAGCTTGTCTCAGGCTAACCTCCTAGCCCTGTTCCCAAGGCCCCCTTTTCGCTGACTTCCCAGTGAGCGAAAGCAGCCCAGCCTAGGCTCTCTCCTCTTGTTTCTTCTGTGCTTGTTTCACTGTCCCTAGCTTTAATAAACATATCTTCATAGTCACCTGAACTCATGTTGTGAAATCTTTCCTGCACCTGTGTCCTGTCAAAGCCCCAGTGTGACCCTAATACTACTTACCTGGTGTTACTAACATACAGGTTATCTCAACAAAACATACACAATTTGTTAATGTTATGTTAACATATTTAGCAGTTGAGATGGGATACCTCTTTTAATTACCTTATAAATTAAATATTCAAAATGTTTTCTCTTTATTGAGAGACTCTGATGTGTGGTTTTTATAGGAAAGAAGGTGGGACTTTGAAGAGAGCATCAAAGAAAAGTCAGATATAAAGAAATGGGAGAGATTTTTCTAGATTCAGATACTGGAGAAGGTGTCTATCCTTGAATCATTTTTGCCTCAAAGATTTTACAGCTTAACAGAGAGTTACTAAGAATCAGAGTGACTGAAGCTGGCAGAGGAGTGGGGCCAATAAAAGTGGGGTGCAGATGACTCTGTACAGCTCCCTGCCTTGGCTGTCCTCATCTACAGTTAGAAAGACACAAGGGAGATGAAAGAAAAGGAAAGGAAAGGAAAGGAAAGGAAAGGAAAGGAAAGGAAAGGAAAGGAAGGAAGGAAGGAAGGAAGGAAGGAAGGAAGGAAGGAAGGAAGGGAGGGAGGAAGGAAGGAAGGAAAGAAGGAAGGAAAAAAGGAAGGAAGGAAGGAAAAAAGGAAGGAAGGAAGGAAAAAAGGAAGGAAGGAAGGAAGGAAGGAAGGAAGGAAGGAAGGAAGGAAGGAAGGAAGGAAGGAAGGAAGGAAGGAAGGAAGGAAAAAAGGAAAGAAAGAAAAAGATCCCAAACCCCTATGTTATATTCGGGTCTGCATAAATAGTCTTGTAGGAAGACAGCAACACTTGGTCATAATGCTATTGCCTTAAAAGGAAGTCCAGCTTCGTGGACTAGGTTTGAAATGCAGAGATGGGGATTCTTGTGCTTTGCTAGCAGCCAACTACTAGGCTCTGCCAACAGGGGGCGCTGGAGGAGATGGTTAGGCAGAAGGCGGGACTTCCTGTTTGCTTCCTATCTACTTCCTGCCTCTGAGCATCACCATGCCTACGCTTTGGAGTGATGGTTTGTAAACTCAGCTGACAGAGACACCAGCCATCTCATAAGAGGTCTGGATCTCAGCCTAGAGGGCCTTCCTCTGAGCTCAGTGCAGCAATAGTAATACAGTCCCAATCAAAGCTCTGCGTTTCAGCTTGTTGGCACCTTTTTTTCCCCCCTTCAAATGCTAAGGTTAATAATTCCCATTTTTTTCCTTCATTCGTTCAGCCTCAGGGTGGTAGCTACTTCCAGCAATTGCTACTTCCTTAATCATTTAGTGCCCTCTCCCTCTCACATCACACACACCTTTTCAGCTATTTACTTATCTTTATAACTAGTTAAGTTCTTTATATTAGATTTGCTATTTCAAATATTTTGGCCAGAATGCTCCATTTTTGGAGGGCTGGTTTGGGGGTGAGGAGATGGGGCCAACAGTGACGATGCCAGTGTCTTTGAAAAAGGCATTTTCTACTCTGCATCGCCAAGATCAGCTCATGGGGCTCTCACTGAGGTCCAACTGCCCAGAGTGTTTTCCATTCTTCAGACTATAATGAACCCAAGACTCTTAGGTATTAATGAGGGAGACCTACAATCTGGAACCCTTTGGCTATTTCTAGTGTGCAGGTTATTAACAGTCATGAAAAGACAGGCAAATGAAATTTTTCAAGTAGTTGCCACCTGAAGAATACATTCCGGTTTTCATTGACTTAAAAAAAAAAAAAAAAGTGAAAGCAAAAAAACAAAAGAAACGATCCTTGTCTTTTTATTGCTTTACTTTTTTAATGTTCAGGGAACATAAGAGGAATGACACTTGGACTCCAGGCTATAAGAAGGCAGAGGAAATACCTGTGTGCTTCTATGATTCTTTGTTAGGTTAGGGTGGACGTGGAGGTGGGGAAGCTTTTAAATCCTTATATGAGCCATTGACAGGTTTTTATAAATTGTTTTCTGGCAGGAGAGCATGGATATAAACTGGGCTGTCCTGGTTGAAATAGTTGCTTGCCTTGCCTTGCCTTCTCAGATAGTGACAGCATTTTTTCCTGCCTTACTCACCTCCCTGAATGACTTGAGACTATGCTCCTGAATGACATAGCTGAGAGCAGGAAACTGAAAGGTGAATGATAAAGCCACTTGCTGCTCTCTACTCTGCAGAAACTAAGGAGGGCTGGAGACAGTTTCTTGGACGCCCTGTGAATATCAGAAAGTATATTTTGGAGGGGTTAAAAGAAGACCAAGGATATGGTGTTCACATTTGCTTTCATGGAACCCAACCAATCTTCCCTGGGAAACAGAAACACAGTGGCAAGAGATCTACCCTAAGTACGAAAGAAGCTATTAAAGGTGAGAATTTTCTTAATCTTTCATCATGTCTTCCTCTTAGATTCCCCAAAAAGTTATTACTAAAGAGTACACAAAACTTATGCTTAGAAAGAGGATACAGAAGGAGAAAAACAACCATTGCTGGATGTGTCACATTTTGTTTCTCTTTCTCTCCTTTTAGGGATTTTTATCTAGAGTATCTGGTTTTCTTTAAATGACACTCAGTATCCTATGTTGTTTTTGAAAAGTAGCTGTGCCAGTTGGTCCGAAGGTTGTGGGTTATTGTTAAGCTGATTAACATTGAAAAGTAGCTGTGATTTGGAGGAATAAGTATTAAGATTATAGACCAAAAAAAAGGGTGTGTGTATGGGAAGAGTGAGGGAGTTCCAGATTTGCTTCTTAATGTGATATTTGCAAGTTATTTAGCATCTGCTTTCTTATCTAGAAAAGGCCTAATAATATTTTATTGTATATATGTTGTGAAGATTAAGTGGGACCGTGTAAAAAATATTTCTGGCATAGAAAGCACTCATTAAATAATTTTTATGAATAGCTGTGTGTGTATCTGTGTGTAAAATATTTTAAATTTTGATAGATTAAGTGTTATCTATATGAATGACTAAATGCATTTTTGGATTATATACAATTTTGTAAGAACATTTTTTATTTAAAAAATTTATTTATCTATTGCTTGATTTGAGAAAGATAGGAAGGGAAGGATGGGGGAAAGAATGAGAGCGAGAGTGAGAGCGAGAGCGAGAGCGAGCGAGAGAGAGAGAGAGATATTGAGGTTAAGATTGATTTGTTTTTCCACTTATTTTTCCACTTATTGGCTAATTTTTGTATGTGTCCTGACTGGGGATGAGCCTGCAACCTATCCTCAGCATTTTAGGATGGTGCTCTACTTGGTCAGGGTAAAGGGATATTTTTATAAAAGGGTGGTTAGATATTAATCTAATCAATGACTTATAGATGGTAAAAGCATCCTAATATATAAATTGTCAAATAACAGCAATAAATGTACTTGAAAGGACTTTTGAATTTCTACAACTGATACCTAGAGTCTGAAATTCATGGATTTTTTTCTCCAGACCTATCAGAAATTCTAGGTCCCAATAAGAGCTATGCTAGAAACAGGATGGAGGGAAGAATGGGGAATAAAGGTAGGAGTTCCTCTTATTAATTCCACCTCTACATCAGCAGGTCCTCAGTTCCATTTCCCTTTCTCCTAGGGTAGAGGTGGAGCTAGGTCCTGACTGTAGCATGAGCAGTTTCTTTGTAGGGTCAGATTGTAGACCTCCATTAGTAACCCAAGCACAAGAAGTTCCTAGGAAGGTCTTGACTAAGGATATTTGTCTAGAGAAGAAATATATTTTGCCATCACTTTGGAGTTGGACTTGCTATTCCTGGGAACACATTCAGGGTTAGTTTGTAATTGAAGGCATTTTGTTCTGTCCAAGGATTCCAACCTTCTCTTCCTTTCCTGGGCCCAAACTCTGTTGATACCATGAAGATGATTTGGTGGAAGAAGAAACTCTACAGGCAGCATTACCTGTGGGCCCTGGGCTGCTATTTGCTGCTGGCCATTGTTGCTCTGAGATTCTCTCTTAGATTGAAATGCAACTTTGATTCCCTGGATCTGGAGTCCAGGAACTTTCAAAGCAAGCACTGTAGGGACATCTTGTACAAGTCCCTGCAGTTGAGAGCAAAGAGATCCATCAACTGTTCCAGAATCATCCAAGGGGATAAGGAAGCAGTGATTGAGGCTCTCCTGGACAGGCTGGAGGTCAAGAAGAAGCGGGAGCCTTTCACAGACACTGACTACATCAACATGACCAGAGACTGTGAGTACTTTAAGGCCAAAAGGAAGTTCATACAGTACCCACTCAGCAAAGAGGAGCTAGATTTCCCTATTGCATACTCTATGGTGGTCCACGAGAAGATTGAAAACTTTGAAAGGCTGCTGAGAGCTGTGTATGCCCCTCAGAATGTATATTGTGTCCACGTGGATCAGAAGTCCCCAGACACTTTCAAAGAGGCAGTCAGGGCAATTATTTCATGCTTCCCAAATGTCTTCCTGGCCAGTAAGTTGGTTAGGGTGGTTTATGCCTCCTGGTCCAGGGTGCAGGCAGACCTGAACTGTATGGAAGACTTACTCCAGAGCTCAGTGCCCTGGAAATACTTCCTGAATACATGTGGAACAGACTTTCCCATAAAGACCAATGCCGAGATGGTCCTGGCCCTCAAGATGTTGAATGGGAAGAACAGTATGGAGTCTGAGATACCTACTGAGAACAAAAGATCTCGCTGGCAATACCACTATGAGGTAGCAGACACCATATACATGACTAACAAGAGGAAGGACCCTCCCCCTGCTAATGTGCCTGTGTTCACGGGGAATGCCTACATCGTGGCTTCTCGAGGCTTTGTCCAGCAGGTCTTCGAGAACCCCAAAGCCCGGCAACTGATGGAGTGGTCCAAAGATACCTATAGTCCCGATGAACACCTCTGGGCCACGCTTCAGCGTATGCCATGGATGCCTGGCTCTGTTCCCTACCACCCCAAGTTTCACATGTCAGACATGGCTGCCATTGCCAGGCTGGTAAAATGGCAAGACCACGAAGGAAACATCAACATGGGGGCACCTTATGCACCTTGCTCTGGAATCCACCAGCGGTCTATCTGTATTTATGGCATTGGGGACCTTCCCTGGATTCTTCAGAACCATCACCTGCTGGCCAACAAGTTCGACCCAAAGGTGGATGATAACGTTCTCCAGTGCTTAGAAGAATACTTACGGTATAAGGCCATCTACAGACTGAACTCTGAGACACACTGAGAGAACTGCTACCTCACATTGAAATGTGGGGCAAGAACATGTGCAAACATGCCCAGATTGTGCTGGGACAGTGTGGGGTGGGAGACCAGGTTTCTGGAATCCATGGCTTCCTGCAGGATTATGGGGCTGCTATCGGAGTGTGGGTAAGTAAGTCTGTTGCCTTGCAAATTGCTATCCTGGACGAACACTGACTTAGCTCACCCCACTCCCAGTAGCCCCTGCACTGACTTTCTCACAGAGTGAGCAGAAGAACTAGTTATCTGGGAGAGCTAGGGAGGGAAGTGTGAGAGGGGACCTTGAGCTTTAGCTGAATGCTTGGTGTCCAGCTTTTCCATTCTGTGGAGATGCCATTCCTAATAATTCTAGGCTTGGTAAGGGGAAGGGGGAGTTTGATGGAAATAAGGCCTTCTCTTGTACTATTAACTTAAAAATAAATAGCTCCTAATTCAAACCTCTACCTCCGCTTTCTGTTTGGGAAGCTAGAAATAAAATAAAAGTGTGATACTTTTTTTTTTTTCTCATTACTATTGGTGGCATTTAAAATCCCTCGTGGCTGACCAGAGTCTCCCCATTATTCCAAAAATGATCATGTCAGGCTGTATAAACAGCAAATTCAAAAAATATATAGAGAGGTACAGAGCTGATGTTGTCACTGTTGAAAGCCCTCCTCATGTTGTTTACATTGCCAGATTTGTGACTCTTCTGTATGGGAAAAGGCAGGGTGATTTAACCAATCTGACCACCGTATCTTTATGGGAAAATTACAACCTTAATTTAGCTGGCTTCACAGCCAACGTTCCATAACAAAGATAATAGCTAGTTTAGGTAAGGTCACCATATAATTTATTGTCCAAACTGAAACACTTTTACAGCAGGGAGGGTGGCTGTACTATTAAAATTATGTGGGAAAACAAGAATAACCAAGGACTGTTTAGATAAACCAGGAAATCGGGTTATTTCACATTTAGGCTTTTTGAGTGAAAACTCTTTTAAGTATGTGAATGGAAGAGTCACTATTTGGGGTTCTTTGGCTTATACATTTCCTTGGGAAGACAATTTTGTGTGTATTTGCCTCCACTCCCTGTAAATGTTACCCAGTGAAACAATGATCTCTGAAGCTTCAGAGATAATTGTCATAGCATTATGGAAGGCTATTGATCTTCTGCATACAATATGCTTTGGAAAAATGATTTAAATACAAATTAATTTGCACAATTTGAATGATATTCCCATTAATATGTCATAATAGTTTCTTCGTGTCTGATTATGACTCAATCAAGTGTTTTTCTCATAATCAACTCTCCCTATAACCCATGTACTCTGACATAGTTATCACTGTCTGACAGTGAACATTCTATTTATAGTGACTGCTTTTGGTAAAGTTGCACTTTTTGGTAATGGGTGTTGCCACTACCAACTTACCTGCATCGTACTATGGAGTCTTCTTCACCTTGACCCCAGTCCTGCCTCCGAGATGGCTGACGGACAGTCATGGGCTCCGCAGATGAGTCTCCTGAGGCCTCTTCCCAGCAGGGGAGCTGACGGACACCCTCACTGCTATGGGAAGTGGGCAGAAAGGCTTCCCGGAATGCATGCATTCTGAGGAAAGAACCTGGCTGGGTCTTTGGCCTCATAGTTGACTTCCTCTGTATATTTTCATGTGAAATAAATTATCTTTTTTATATAAATAAACTAAATTGTGAACTTGTCATTTTGGGGGAAGAAGTTTCTGGAATTTTTGAAGTACTGACATTTTTTTTTTCCTTGAAATACATTCAAGTGCATAGAAAGTGCTCTTTATTTAATAACAAAGTCTTCCTATCTGAAGGGTCCATTTTCTCCCTCATTTGTGTAGTTTATTTCAGAAATCATGTAATTAAGTGAACACATTTGTTGATTTTTTTCTTCCCTCTAAGTCATATTTGTTTTTTTAACCTCTCTCTGGAAAGGAAAAATCTTATAAATGATTCAAGCAACTAGGCATGTATTACTTCGCAAGGTTTGAATTCTTTTAAAAAAATTTTTTTTATTGATTTTTTTTTTTCAAAGAGGAAGGGATGATAGTTAGAAACATTGATGAGAGAGAAACATCAATCAGCTACCTCTTGCACATCCCCAACTGGGGATGTGCTCACAACCAAGGTACATGCCCTTGACAGGAATGAAACCTGGGACCCTTGAGTCCACAGGCCAGTGCTTTATCCACTGCACCAAACCAGTTAGGGCTTAATTACTTTTTTAGTTTTGATTTGTGGTCTATTGGTAAACTTGTTTTAATAACTGTTTTGATGCACACTCTGCCTATTATAATTTTTGTTTTCTTGATTGAGTGAATTCTTTTTAAAAAAAGGAAGAAAAGGCAGTTAATCTTCTTTGGGAACAGACAGCATAACTTATTTGGGGGAGACTATGTATTTGAATTAAAAATGGAAAGAACTGCTAATTTGGCTCAGTGGATAGAGCATCAGCCTATGGACTGAAAGGTCCCAGGTTCAATTCCAGGCACATGCCCAGGGTTGTGGGCTTGGTCCCTGGTAGGGGCCGTGCAGGAGGCAGCCCATCAAAGATTCTCTCTTATCATTAATGTTTCTCTTCTTTCTCTCTCCTCTCTGAAATAATATATGTATAAGAACCATTGAATACATTATATGCCATAAGTACCTTATTGAACTGAAGATTTATTCTTTCATTTAGTGAATCATTTATTCATTCCATAACTATTAACTGAGTTCTTACTAGGCATTGTCCTTGATCCTGGGGATTTATAGCAATCAACAAAGCAGACAAATATTTCCACTCTCATGTTCTTCGTATACTAGCTTGAAATGGACTATAAACAAGTAAAGAGTGTGTGTGTGTGTGTGTGTGTGTGTGTGTGTTAGAAGACAAGTGCTAGAAACCTTAGGAGAGTGGGGTAGGGAGAGAGGATGCTTGAATTTTTAAATAGTGTGGTCAGGGATGCCATTAATGAAAGTGACATTTGAGTAAAGATCTGAAGGAGACGAAGAAATGATCCATGAGGACCCATGGTGGGAAAGCATTCTAGGCCAAGAGGAGAGACTTGGCAAGGCCCTGAGCAGGAACACACCTGCCATGTTTGAGGAATAGCAAGGAAGCCAGTGTACACGGAGCAGAGTAAAGGGCGGGAGGGAAGAAAAGTGCAGAGCACAGGGGAGCAGGGCTGCTGTGAAGGCCTCTGTAAACCAATATAGGGTATTCATCTTATGAGTGCCTTAGGCCACAGGAAGGCTTTGAATGGAGGACTGACCCGATCTGATTAACATTTTCATGCTGCATCGAGTTCAGACTGACAGGGAGGTGATGGTGAATGCAGGGAGGCCAGTTAGGAGCTGTGGCAATAAGCATGCCACTAGCCACAGTAGCTTGGACCAGGGGAGCATAGCAGCAGTAGAAAGGGAGGTAGACAGATCCTGGAAATGTTTTGGAGGTTCAATTTGAGGATTTTCTAACAGATTGAGTTTATTTATGATTTAAGAGTGACTCCAAATGTTTTGTCTTGATGGTCAGTTGAAAAGATAGTTACTATTAACTAAGATAGGAAAACTGTGAAAGTGGATTTTTAGGGGAAGATCAATAGTTTGATTCCAAACATGTAAAAGAACTGAAGGGGGTTGTTTGTAAGGTATATAGACATATAATACCTTAATTAAAAAAATGAGAAAGAAAAAACATTTAAATAAATAAAAAAAAAAGAACTGAAGATATTTAGCTGGTGTTCATTAGCTTATGGATAGTGTAAAGCTATGAAACTGGAGAATTCCAACCGAGTGGACAGCTATAGGAAAGAGGCCCCAGATGAATTCTGGGGCTCTGGAAAACGCAGAGCCACTGAGATGAGGAGGAACTACGTACCAAGAGAAAGTTGGAAAGGAGCAGCAGGTGTGGTAGAAGGGAAATGAGGTAGGTAGTGTTCTGGAAGCCTGGAGGAGAAAGTGCTTCAGGAAAGAGGTTGATGACTGTGCCCAGAGCTGCTGAAAGTCACTGAAGATGAGTATAACCCAAGAACCAGCTCAGAAACCTGTTAGCCATTTATGTTGTCTTTGGAAAAATGTCAATTCAGGTCTTGTGCCCCTATTTATTTATTTATTTATTTTTTGTTATTGAGTTGTATATACATATATGCTATATGAGTTCTTTATATTTTATTAGAGGCCCAGTGCACAAAATTCATGCATGGTGTGTGTGTATGTGTGTGTGTCAGGGGGGCCCAAGGAAGAGGTGTCCCTCAGCCCAGCATACACCCTCTCTATTCTGGGACCCCTTGAGGGATGTCTGACTGCTCGTTTAGGCCCAGTGGGACATCCCTCTCACAATCCAGGACTACTAGCTCCCAACCATTCGCCTGCTGGCCTGGCTGATTGTCCCTAACAGTTTTTACCTGCTAGCCTGATCACCCCCTAACCACTCCCCTGCCAGCCTGGTCACCCCTAAATGCCCTCCCCTGCCAGCCTGGTTTTCCCCAACTGCCCTCCCCTCCTGGCTTGGTCGCTCCCAACTGCCCTCCCCTGCAGGCCTGGTTTTCCCCAACTGCCCTTCCTGCCAGCCTGGTCACCTCTAACTGCCCTCTCCTGCAGGCCTGGGTCCCTCCCAACCGTCTTCCCCTGCTGGCGGATAGCCTACAACTGCCCTCCCCTGCTGGCCATCTGTGTCCACATGGGACAGCCATCTTTTTTTTTTTTTTTAAATATATTTTATTGATTTTATACAGAGAGGAAGGGAGAAAGAGAGTTAGAAACATTGATGAGAGAGAGTCATCGATCAGCTGCCTCTTGCACACCCCCCACCGGGGATATGCCCGCAACCAAGGTACATGCCCTTGACTGGAATCGAACCCGGGACTCTTCAGTCCCCAAGCCGACGCTCTATCCATTGAGCCAAACCGGTCCTGGTGGGACAGCCATCTTTGACCACATGGACAGCCATCTTGTGTTGGAGTGACAGTCAATTTGCATATTATTCTTTTATTAGA